TGAAGCAAAAATATAGATAATGAGCAACTATTTATTGTGACATTGTCGCAATTCCAGAATGCAATTTTCTGTCACTGTGTTCTCAATTTTTTAGTAGTGTCTTTCCTTGTACAGAGTGCAATATTGACCTAGGATATAAATAAAAATTTATGAAATTATGTAGATACAAGACTTATGTAATTTAAGTGTTCCTTGCTTATTTTGACAGAAAGAAATGTTTTGATTGGGTAAATGATTGCAAAGATAATGTTTTATCTTTTCATTTAGTTGGTGTATTGTACATTGTGGTGCACCAAAATAATCTTTAGTCTTTTTCCCATCCTAAATTCTTAAAATTCAGATTGTTTGTCTTTTTGTCCTGTTTGTGCTAATTAGAATTTTGCCACCAGATTTTGCTGCAATTGTGAATTACACAAGAAGGATTTCAGTATATTATAACTATGGTACATCAATAGTGAATGCTAACATCAGAAAATCTGCATTGTTATCTACTTTTAGTTTATGATCAACTGAATGTGTTAAATTATAATGTAACAATAAAAAAGTAATGTCATGTTAATTTATTTATTTTAGTAATTATTCTTTATATTAAAAATTTACTTGATTTATTAGGTTGTTGCAAATGAAATAACCCATTTTTACTTCTGACTTTGAACATTTATTAATTTAATTTAAAACTTACATATTCAATCAAAATTGTCTCCATCAACATTAATACACTTTTCTCAATGCAATACAAATGCATTAATGCCAACTTGATAGAAATTACAAGAACAAGAAGCCAAAAAGTCATTAAAGGTACTTTTTTATTGCATCCTCTTCCTCAAAGACTTTCCTTGCCAAAAAACTGTCCAAATGTATAAAAAAGTGATAGTCTGTTAGCAAAAAGTCTGGCAAATAAGGTGGATGGGAAAGAATTTTATTTGAATACTTTCATTTTTGTGACAAATAATTAAAACTGCAGACATCCAAATGATGCTCCTTATCTCTCTCACCAAGTTCGTGTGGTACCCATTTGTCAAGCTTCTTGACTTTCCTAGCATGTTTAGACATAGGGAAATGGTTGAATAATGTACAGTATATTCAATCTTTCTGCAATTTCCCGGACAGTCAGGTGATGTTCTGATTTGACGATGTTCTTCAAATATGATTTTTGAGAATTGTATTCGCAAAATGAAATTTTTTGAACCAATGCCTGGTGGCCTGCTCACTCAGAACCTTCACCAAAAGTTTCATTGGTATTTTGGGTTGCTTCAGCTGCATTATGTCCTTGCTTATACTCATAAAAGAAAATTATTCAATTTCCTTTTTTTCCATACCTTCAGAAAAAGTACTTTTAAACATGTGGAACTCACAATATAAATGAGATTACATTTTTAATTCACATATAATATGTGTGTTCTTTCAGTTGAAAACATATAGCACTGTTCACATGGAAAAAAGTTGAATAACAAGGCTGGAAAGTTTAGCTTTTAAAAACTGGCCATTTCATATGCAATGACCCAATATTTTATATTTTTTTAAATAATGTCAATATTGTAATTAAATTTTTTGTTATGCTGATGATGATAAAGAACAAGCAGATCATGAACAAATTAAATTGTATTCATCCTTATATGAATAGTACTTAATGAAACATCAAACACCTATCACTAAGAAATGTTTATTTAACGAAACACTAACGTTTTCAGCCTCATAGAATATATCATCTTTAGGTGTAATTTAATTTGAACATAGTTTAAAATTATAACGATGGAACGTCCGAACATTATACATTCAAATTTAAAACAAAAATAATAGATAAATTAACAAATAAATAACAAAATAAAATATACTAAATACACTGAAGCAACAATGATATAAATAATATAATAAAATAAATAAAATAAAAATTAAATAAATACATAAAAATGTATCAAACTATATGCAGGTTCTGACTAAGAATTTTTATATTTTAATTTTTCTTTTATGTAGAATTTCCTTGCAGATGCTAATCCATCTGCATCACTGGCATTAATACAACCATCCTTTAATTTACGTTTATAGATTTCAATTTTTTCTTCTTGCAAAGCTAATGATGGGGAACACATGGTTTTGAGAATAGTTGCTTCACTCCATTTAATTAACTACAGAGCCCTCTGCTTGTGCCATACTTGTTATAAGTGAACTTGACAATTTTAAACTGATTTGTTGGGTTCTTAATTTTTTGCCTCCTTCATATTTTCTAATTAGTTCTTCTATTGTACTCTTTTTATATCCCAAGTTTGAAGCTATTTCTTTTACACTATTAATCTCCTTTATCCTGTCTAGTACATTAGAGCAATATGAATACACTTTTCTAATGAGTGCACGAAAAGTGGACAATTTGTATACATATGGGTCGTTCGAGTTAGCCAGAATGTAAAGTGGACTATGTGTTGGTTTTATGTAAATACCCATTGTTATATAATCTCATTTCAATTGGAAGTATATATCCAGAAAATGTTCATGATTTTTTTGTTCTTTCTAGTTTAAGTTTTAATCCATCATTGTTGCTGTTGTTGATTACTTGTACAAACTCGTGTATTCTCTTGCCATTTTTCAAAATACAGTAGAGCATCAATTATCCGACTCAATTGCGGACTGGGGTTGGTCGGATAACTGAAAAAATGGATAACCGAAAAGTATGAAAAAATACATTATTAGTATAGTATATTAGTATATTCCATATAATTAGTATATCGCTATTAACCTACTTCACGGTGAATTTTTATCGATGTTAAGCCTAACAAAACTTTTTAAAATAATAATCGTCGCAATTGTTAAAAATTATTTTAAAATTATTTTATTGCTCACAAAACAACCAACCACTTATAAATAGAAAATTAAGCTTCGTTTAAATACTGCCCTCCCTTTCATGGTCAAGCCAGTGTTGCCAGCTAAAACACGTAAAAATTTAACAAAAATAATATTATAGTAGCCAAGACTTAGCCAAATATTGTAGCGCTACTTCACTAGCGGACATTTGAAATTTGCCGACTAGAACGCTCGGTTAACCGATGTGATGGTTGATCGGGCGTCGGATAATTGATGCTCTACTGTAATGCACACATCTTCTGCATATCTTTTGTAAAATACAATATCCATTCTGAACCCATTAATAATGTGTTTCTCCAAGTTGCATAGAACTAGTTCATACAATAATCCTGATAATGGACTTCCCATAGGTACCCTTTTCTTTTGTTTGTATGCTTATTTATCAAAACTGAAGAAGGACTCATAACATACCAATTTGGCTAATTCCATCATATCATTCGCAAATGCACCAACTTCCGGTTTTGTGTTGAGCATAAATTCCATTAAAGCTTTATAACATGATTCTATTTTTATGGTTGGATATAGATTTTCAAAATCCATAACTGTCTGCTTTTCACGCACTCATTAGAAGAGCGTATTCATATTACTCTAATGTACTAGACAGGATAAAGGAGATTAATAGTGTAAAAGAAATAGCTTCAAACTTGGGATATAAAAAGAGTACAATAAAAGAACTAATTAGAAAATATGAAGGAGGCAAAAAATTAAGAACCCAACAAATCAGTTTAAAATTGCCAAGTTCACTTATAATAAAAATATCATTGACATCATGAAACAAATATCGGACAAAAAAACTCCAAAATAGTTTACAAAAGAGCTCTTAATTTGTATAGTATTCTCAGAAATGATAGACATGCTTAAGAAAGAAGAAAAAGTAGGCATATACAGAATTCCATTTGAAAATCAGCAATTAGGAATTAAGGACTATATTGGGGTCACAAGAATGGAATTTAGCTATTAAACTTAAGGAATACAAGTATGACATTAATAAAGGGCACTGCAGCACAGTTTTGTCAAGTATGATACAAGCAGAGGGCTCTGTAGTTAAATGGAGTGAAGCAATTATTCTCAAAACCATGCGTTCCCCATCATTAGCTTTGCAAGAAGAAAAAATTGAAATCTATAAAAGTAAATTAAAGGATGGTTGTATTAATGCCAGTGATGCAGATGGATTAGCATCTGCAAGGAAATTCTACATAAAAGAAAAATTAAAATATAAAAATTCTTAGTCAGTACCTGCATATAGTTTGATACATTTTTATGTATTTATTTAATTTTTATTTTATTTATTTTATTATATTATTTATATCATTGTTGCTTCAGTGTATTTAGTATATTTTATTTTGTTATTTATTTGTTAATTTATCTATTATTTTTGTTTTAAATTTGAATGTATAATGTTCGGACGTTCCATCGTTATAATTTTAAAATATGTTCAAATTCAATTACACCTAAAGATGGTCTATTCTATGAAGCTGAAAATGTTAGTGTTTCGTTAAATAAACATTTCTCAGCAATAGAAGGTGTTTGATGCTTCATTAAGTGTTTAAAAAATGCTGAGTTTGATATTTACTTATGAATAGTACTTTATAGTTTTTTGAAAGGCTGCTTTGTTTTTCTTGCCATTTAGATAACAGTGAATATAATTAAAATGAATTTGATATATCACCAAAATACTTTTATGCATTGTTGAAGTATAGTCTTCTACCAATTATATAGATATCAAATCTCAGAAATGATTCCAAAGACCAAAAATAAGCATTATAACAGAATGTTTTAGAAATAAAATTGACATATTATTGTTTTATTTTCACTTTTGATTTAATCTTTACCTTTGACAAACTTTAAAAATTGGGAAGTTATAAAATAATGCGAAATGAAAAGTGATTTTATTGTTCTTTTCTGTTGCATATTTATGATAGTAAATGATAGTAATGGTAAAATTAATGAGAAATATTAATTCTCAAAAATTTATTTTGAACATTTCTATCTCATCTGCATTTGAAATAAATTTAAATGTAAATGTAAACATAAATAGTACTAAAATATTCTAACATTTTCTTCAATAAAAATTCTGATAGCAATTGTTTATTAAATTAGTAATGCTTGAAAGTTCATTTAAATATATTATATTATTTTGACAGTTACTGTGATTGTTTTGCAAATGGAGAATTCTGCAATAATTGCAACTGTAATAATTGTTCCAATAATTTGGAACACGAAGAAGAAAGACAGAAAGCAATTAAGGCATGTTTAGATAGAAACCCACTTGCCTTTCATCCAAAAATAGGTAAAAGTATGCTTTTTATATCACCCAATTTAATGTAATATTTTGCTTATTTTTGAATTATTTTTTTCTTAAAGTATTTTTCAAGATGACATTTCATAGTTTTGTGTTAACTGAATTTAAAATTTATTGAAGTAGAATTTTAAATTAATTTGTATGATAAATATAACAATATTCAAAAAGTTTTCTAATGTTGCAAATTTTCAATTTTTTTTTGTTTTTTGTTACCATATTTAAAACTTTCTAATAATTCACATCAAAAGAATGATTTAAACCAGGGGTGGCCATGCGGCCCAAGGCAAGTTCCAATGTGGCCCTAAACGTGTAAACAAAACCGACAAATTTTTTATTTATTTATTTCAACGACATAAACTTAAAAAAAGAAGTTTCACAAAGCCATAAACCTTTATACATATTTTATTTTTTAATAGAAAGGAAATATTTTCAAATACTTTGAGTGTGTGGATGAGGAAGAAATACTAAATAAAGCTGGAGTGGTGACTCAAAGGATTATAGCCCCAAATTTGGGGAAAGGAGAGAAAGGCCAAAAGATAAAAAGAAGTGAGAAAGGTTGGAAAATTAAGGATCAATATTTGCATAACAGAAGGTCGAACATTATACATTCAAATTTAAAACAAAAATAATAGATAAATTAACAAATAAANTGACATATTATTGTTTTATTTTCACTTTTGATTTAATCTTTACCTTTGACAAACTTTAAAAATTGGGAAGTTATAAAATAATGCGAAATGAAAAGTGATTTTATTGTTCTTTTCTGTTGCATATTTATGATAGTAAATGATAGTAATGGTAAAATTAATGAGAAATATTAATTCTCAAAAATTTATTTTGAACATTTCTATCTCATCTGCATTTGAAATAAATTTAAATGTAAATGTAAACATAAATAGTACTAAAATATTCTAACATTTTCTTCAATAAAAATTCTGATAGCAATTGTTTATTAAATTAGTAATGCTTGAAAGTTCATTTAAATATATTATATTATTTTGACAGTTACTGTGATTGTTTTGCAAATGGAGAATTCTGCAATAATTGCAACTGTAATAATTGTTCCAATAATTTGGAACACGAAGAAGAAAGACAGAAAGCAATTAAGGCATGTTTAGATAGAAACCCACTTGCCTTTCATCCAAAAATAGGTAAAAGTATGCTTTTTATATCACCCAATTTAATGTAATATTTTGCTTATTTTTGAATTATTTTTTTCTTAAAGTATTTTTCAAGATGACATTTCATAGTTTTGTGTTAACTGAATTTAAAATTTATTGAAGTAGAATTTTAAATTAATTTGTATGATAAATATAACAATATTCAAAAAGTTTTCTAATGTTGCAAATTTTCAATTTTTTTTTGTTTTTTGTTACCATATTTAAAACTTTCTAATAATTCACATCAAAAGAATGATTTAAACCAGGGGTGGCCATGCGGCCCAAGGCAAGTTCCAATGTGGCCCTAAACGTGTAAACAAAACCGACAAATGTTTTAATTTTTTTATTATTTATTTATTTCAACGACATACACTCAAAAAAGACGTTTCAAAATCCGTAAACCTATATACATATTTTATAATAGGATTTTTTATTTTATTTATTTTATTTATACACTATTAGGAACTGTCATGTGACAAAAGATATCCACTCCTAATTAACAAAACCTCCCAATAATGAATGAATTACAGTTAAAACCAAAAAATAACAGAGAGTAAAAAACATGATTTAACTCTGTATGTGTTAATGCATTAATATATGGCAAATTTAAAAATTTAGAATTAACCTGTCTTACGTTGATCCCGAAAATATTCAGGTTGACCTCATTGACCTGCGTGGGCGATCCCGAATATTTCCATGTTTACATTGAAACGTTTTTGATACTAGATGTTGGTTCGCATCACAAGTTTTATATTAAAACAAGCTTTTAAAATAAAATTTTTTTCGTTTTTATATTATTCAATATATATATTTTGTTTTATAACTATATTTTGTTTTAATATATATATTTTGTTTTATACTGTATCGTAAAAATATAAATTTTTTACGATACAGTAAACACGATTATTATTTTTAAAAAAAAATTAAAAATTTAGGCTTAACATTGACGAAAATTCAACATGGCGTCACAGGCAACAAATAAAAATTTCAACATCGAATAGGTTAAAAAAACATAGTGAAGACAATAGAATAAAAAACAAAAATTTAAATATATATATAAAGATTAGTTATTACAAAGATTGAGCAAATATTGCATATAGCATTATAATAAGAGGATTAAAAAAATAAGAGCTTATATATTATAATAATACTAAATCATCAAAAAAAAATTAATTCTAGTTCATCATTGATATAAAATATCTTGACATTTTCTTTTAAAATGGTCAAACTTTCATGCAGTAAATGTTCTACTGGTTTTATATTTTTTGTGATATGATAAAAAAATAGATCTGTGTGATACTGTTAAATGTAAATATGTGCTGAATATACAAGAAGAATTTTTAAATAAAACTAGTGTGGACTTAATGAACTATTAAAATATTTATAAAAGAAGATTCAATAAAAATATTTTATATGTTCTTTAAGTTTAGGAAGACCAATGCATACATGGGCAACAGTAAGATTATGAGTTTGTGGCAAGTTACATAATTTATATAATAATACAGTAAATACATTTTATCAAGTTTGTGCAAAAGTATGGAAATCAATGATAGAGCAGCCATAAACCAGGTCAGAAGGCAGTAATCAACTAATGACTAAGAAGTAGAGAAGAAAATTGAGTGTAATATGGGTTTATGTGATATAGTTTTACAAAAACTCCAAAGAATCTCATGGCATATTGTGAGATTTTATCACTTTATCAAAATGATTTTTGAAATTTAGTTTATCATCATAAATTACACTAAGATCATTGAAAGAGTTGACATTGTAACATCTGGTCTCTCTATTACAAAGATGGGACAGCAAGAAGAAGCACATTACCACAGTGTTTTGTATGTTTATTGGAAGATTGGCTTTATTGAATTTGGTGATAAGTTGATTTAAATCTAACTGTAGGGCATCAGGATCATGATTTAATAATTAATTATAGTCTGCATAAGCCACAACTTTAGAATTTAAGTTGTGGATATGTGCGGAGAAGAGTATACTATTTAAGATCGAGCCCTGTTGTATACCACATAGACGTAAAAATTCTAAGAAAGAATAGTTACTAATCTTAATTTTATATTTTCTGGATAAAAAGTAATTATGTAGCCAGGAGTGTATTGCTGGGTCAATGTCAAAATGGTTTCGTAGTATGCTTAAAAGAGTGCTAGGTATTACGGAATCGAAAACTTGCCTCAGGTCGATATAGGCAACATAAGTTGAGCGTTTTTTTACCTAACTTTTTCAGTGTGAGATGAGTTCCATCTATTAAATTTGTAGTTGTGGAGTGTTTATGAATTCCACAATGCTGTACATTGCTAAAGTTGGGGAAGACAGAGGTTTGATGATTGTTGCCACATCCCATTTTACCTCAGAGCCTTGGCCTGCACCATTTGGGACCCCTCTTTTTTGTCTGTAGACCTGACCACAAAAGGTGAAGCACAACTCATAGCACACTAGGTTAGCCATCTCCTCTTGCTTGTGGGTGTAAAAAGCAACTGGGAGTTCTTTATGTACAAGAAATCTAATAACACATCTACGCAAGACTCAATCTTTATGAAAGGGCATTTGTCCACAAGCATTTATATTAAACCTACACACACCCCATTGAATATACCCTTCCAGTTCATGGATCCATGCCAGTATAAGATGGCAGCCTTCCGAGCGTTAATAAGGAGAGCTTATTTATATTGTGACCGAATCGGTGACAGAGCGAAGGAGATTGATAGAGTATTGCAGGTGGCCTGGACCCTGGGTTACAGAAAAAGTGTAATTGTAGGAATGCTTAAGAAGTATGAAAGAGGCATAGTAAAAAGAACCTTAAGTAATGTTCCTACTAGGCTCACGAAATTTACTTATAATAGTAGTATGAATAGTGTTATGAAATAAATTGCTAGTCGAAAGGAATCAAGAATGGTTTTAAGAAGAGACCCCAATTTGTATAAGATCTTGAGAAATGATAAGGATAGTATCAAAGCGGAGGAGAAAGCAGGGATGTATAATATTCCTTATGAGAACTTACAACTGGATGTTAAAAAAAATTATATTGGCATCACCATCAGAAACTTGGGAGTAAGGCTCAAAGAACATAGATATGCCATAAGAAAAGCATCAAATTCAACGATTTTGTTCCAAATGGTGCAGGCCCAAGGCTCTGAGGTGAAATGGGATGAGGCAACAATCATCAAACCTCTGTCTTCCCCAACTTTAGCAATGACGGCGGAGAAGATTGAAATATATAGAAGTAGGCTAGGAGAAGACTGTTTAAATGCGAGGGATGCCAAGAGCCTGCCTTCAGCGTGGAAGTACATGGTTAAGAAATTTACTAGAAACTTGGACCAGAATTAGTACATTGGAAGATTTATGTTATTTTTTGTTTTATTTTAATTTTATATATTCTTCTGTTATTTTTCTCTTGTAAAAAAATTTTTTTTTTGATTTAAAATTTTTATGTTCTATTGGAACATTTACATTCCATTTTCATTTTCAACCTGAAGATGGCCTGTTAATTGGGATGAAAACATTTGTTTTTTACAATTATATGTATTTCTCAACAAGAAAGGTGTTTTGTTTCTGTTTATTTAATTGCTGAGCTCTTTTGATATTATGAGTGGTCTATGATATATTTTAGCCGGCATCACTAAATAGTAAATAACAACACACAACATTGGAGTATTGTCAATAACATACTCTATGAACTGATGACCGGTGTGCAACAAAAAAATCCAGTTTCATCTCCACCTGCATTAATTATAAGGAGGTGTTGGTTTGTTGGTAGTTTGGCAGGCACTGATTGACACTAACCTTTAAGTGTTAGGGCTGTTTCACACTATGACCGACTGG